AATCAAAAGTGAGTAGCCGGTTCACTCCCAAAAATAAGCGTGACAAAATATAATGGTAATTTTACATTTTATAGAGCTTCTTTATTCATAAAGCTTGTCGAAAATTAAAAAACTAAAATATTATCCAAGACATCGCAATGATTACATCTTTGTGGGACATCCTGTATATCGTCGTAGTAATCGGATCAGACTTTTATTATTTGTATACACAAAGGCGGTTGTGGCCGTCACAACTGTGAGGGTCTGATGGAAAACGAAGATAATGCAGCTTTAGCAGGGGACAGGCACGGACGAAGAAAAACACATCAGTCACACGGAAACCGCGATCGCAACAATAGAGTTTTTTTTTTGTGAAAAAAAAAACGACGATACTATTGATTGTGCCACTGTTTTTGCAGGGAATTTGGAAGACAGGATATTTGTTAGTGAAAACCGATTCTGCGCAGAGTATTATATTAGTCGATTTTTTTGTTAACCGTTTCCATGTTCCCAAGGTAACTAGAAATCAACAAAAGTTATACGAACAATTGCCAGTTTTCCTATTTACAAAAAAGTTTGTAAAAAGTTTTTTCATTGGATCATGATTTCTAGTGGGAAAAATGTTTACAGACATACAAGAGAAAAAAAAAACTCGCCACAGCAAAAACAACTCCGACAACCATTATTCGCTCACAATCTAAAATAGCGTTCATCGTGTTATTGACGCATATAAAAATTGTTTTCCCTCCGAGCCAAATTTTTGATCCTTTCCTTCTGTCTCCGGTGGTCCGAACGGTCCTCCCGGTCTCGTCGATTTTTGGGCGTTTTGCGCCTTGCTATCTCTTCCCGAATCCCCGCGCGCGTTGGATTTACGGCCAAGCACAACAGCGTTTATCCGAAAACACGCAATTCGTAAAATGAACGGTTTGCTCCGGTATATGTACCGATACGCCAATTATCAACAATATTAATTAAATACACCTAAACTTCAAACGATTTCTCACGGGAACAAATTATACGATTCTGCACGAAATTGTGACACGATCGCGAATTTAACTACACAACGACGTGCGTTTATTTTCCACCACCCCCCCCGTTTCGTAAAGGACGGGGAGTGGTACAGTTTTATCCGGACGCTAGAGTTGCCTATACGTAAGGCGGCCGTTATTCACGGACGAGATTACGCGGCGGACGTACACAAACGACTTTACTCGATTCGTTATTTTACACGCGTGTTGCGGAGAAGATGTATTATTTTTCGTACAGAGAAGAGAGCGAAAACCGCACTGCCGAGGAAACAGAATGCGAACAATGTCGCGGGCGTATTTTCGAACTCATAGTCGGGTTCGGGCGGAACGAGCAGACACGATATTTCATAAGTATATTCATTTAAGGTGAAGTATATTCTAACGCATTTTAATCAATTTACACGTCTGTCTGGCGTGAAGGCGCATGCGGTCGACAGCGCTCGGACTCGTCTAAAAAGGCGTTTTCGGCGGCCGGCACATATACCCCGGACCCCACACCCCCCCCGGTTAGTTATGTTTAGTCTGCGTTTTTCGACCACAACGAGTTTTCGAATGATCGGACGAGAACCTCACGCGCTCGGTCCCTGATATCCGGGTCTTGCTAAACGCGCGCGCGGGTGTTCGACCGGCTATTGACGTCCGTGTTTTTTATCAATGTTCCGAATATCCAAATCTACGGTTGTTGCCGTGGCCGTTCGCATTGCGGCGTGGTAAATTACCTATTATGGTGCCGCAGTAAATCCCATACACTGTGCTGCGTAATATGATATATTATCAGGGGGCGGGGCAACGCCCGTAACAATAACGACCGGCGGCGGTTTGACGGGGCGGAGACAAGGGAAGCGGAAAAAAAAAATAGAAAAAAATAAAACACAATATTATAAATATATACGAGCCTATTAAACAACCCGCGTAGCTTGTTAGTGTTGTAAATAAAAAAAAAAAAAAATAATCATAAATATTCTACCCGAACGAGCGCGGCAGCCGAGTGCAAGCGAATAATGTAATAAACTTGCGGTTTTACTACTACTGCTGCCAACCCTTTTCCATAAGACGTTCTCCGCCGACCGATATTTTCCCATTAGAAGCTGCCATATAAAGTTAAAAAAAAATAATAATAATAATAACAGTGTTTTTTACGAGGGGGAGGGGGAAAGGTCCTCCTAGATTATTTAATATTATTTATTAATATTACTGATATCAGATAACCGTGTCATATTGACACTTTTACACCTAAAGAAATACACGCATGTTTAACTCGTCGCAATACGTGTTCGTAGGGGATTGGCGACACTGATTATTTTAGTCGATTCAGACCTAGAAACCAGAAAAATCTGTAGGAATTAGGTCTGATGGATTTCAATTGTGTTTTAACGGATTCTGATTCTTTATTATAGAAACATGTAAAAATAAAATAATAATGGAATTATTTTATTAGAAATCATAAATAAATTAGATTGTGTTTTTGAAATTTTTTTAAAAATGTACTTAGTGAAATTCGCATTTTACTTAGGGTCAAGTGGCCTGGTAAAGTACCTGTAAAATCACAATGCGTAATTTCGTAATTTGTATTCAGTCAGTCGAAACGTAACCCCTAACAGTTTTTTCTGGCTTATCGGTCTAATATGAAGGGTACAAGGAAAAGACCAGAAAAATCACTCTATTTTCAAACTGAGAAAAACGTGTTTTTAATTTAAAAATGTACAATTTTTTTTTTTACTGTGTAAAAAATTCGGATTAAGTTTGATATTAAACTTTGAAACGTAATGACCACGACATAATGACGTCATATTATGTTATTGACCAAGGCTATAGTCGTGTATTAACCCAACACTCACCTGGTTATATTTTAGTTGATTACCTGTTTATTTTTTTCCCGTAAGCCTAAACACCTCTGGCATCCGTTAGTTTCGGCTAATCTGATTACTTCGCCGTTTCGATCGCACGAAATATGCAGCACGTCAATATCAATTATTTGATACCGATACCGCCCATTTAGGAAAAAGTGATATATCCGATTTTTCCCTGTACCCTCCATATACATTAGTGTTTGTTCGTAACAAATGTTATTTCACTTAACTGATTAACATTTTAACACGTCAATGTAACTCAGCTTTGAAAACGGCCGCAACTCTTCCCGTTAAATGGTTACCGGGCGGTAGACCGGCGGAGAAGCCGCGTCATTAATATGCTGTCGTTGAAATAATAATTTTCAAATTTTACGAAAATACGATAAAATCTGGACACCCGTCGCCCCTTTATAAATTTGGTGTTTTCGTTCGACGCGCGTAGTGCGCGAGCGTGCGTTTAGGTCGTCGATTTTTCGGGCGTGAGGCACATTAAGTGAAGAGAGGGGGGGGGAGGGACGGGAAGGTAGCGTTCCGATCTTCTCGAGTGTTTCATTTTTGTGTCTGGCACCATGAGCGCGTTGTCTATAAATAAATAAGAAAAACAATGTTTAATATTCGAACTGAAGCGAGTTAAACGGATGGCCAGCGATTAAATACTCGAAAACCATACATAATGTATAAACTTAAGTTTACTGTTTGTAAACGAATTTCGACCGAAACCACTGCCGTACTGGCCAAGTAATGTATATTTTTATATGGTAGGTAGCGAAAATTGAGTCGGTTACTCTAGCAGATCGCCGTTAACAGTCATAATACTCCTAAGAGGTGCGTTTATTTATACGGCGGACTCTCGATGAATCGTAAATAATTAAACGCGAACGGCATAAGAAATATTTTTCGCCAAAACCTCTACAACTTGAACTCGTGGCTATTGCCCTTACTCGTAACCGTTGAAAAATAACGACGGCGATGGTTTATTAATAGTTTATCGGCAACAGTTTCCCAAATTGCCGTTATTTGCTCGACTATCGTTTATCGTTTACCATCACCATAATACGTGGCGGGTAATAGCCGTACCGTTTTCTTAATCGGTTGAAATAAGTCCAGTGAAATAAAAACGTTATTCGCTATCTGGTGAAAAAAAAAAAAGCGGTCGCGGCAGTTGAACTTCGGCTAAATCCAAAACCTCTATCAATCCAATTTTCTGATCGGCGATCCCCTGAATTTCGAATCGCCGAGAATATCTAATATCATTCGAGTGACGTGCAGACAATTCGAATTCCGGCGGTGTCAACATGTCAATTATTGAACTCACGATAGATAATGTTGAGTTTGACTACTCGAGTAAATATTATTCTACACACGAGAATACGGGTCGCTCATTCTTATCGGCGGATTTGGACCTTTTTAGGATATTGGAGTGTCGGGATTTTGACCCGGGCCCGTACGGATTCATTATACGAGCCACGAGGGTAGCTCCGCTCGTAAGCGAAAAATATTGCAACTTTCGTGTCCGACGTCCAGTGGCATATGGGTTGGCATGACAGGAAATGAGCCGCGGGCCCACGTTATGACATTTAGGGGCCCAGAATTATTATCATTATCACGGAGTGTTAAGTTTTTCGGTTATTATTTTTTAAATCAATTGAGAAACGAGTATCTCTAAAATGTTTTGTGTCGGTTATTTTTCGTCACCATTATTTTAAGAGACGAGACCGCTGCCTATTTTTGATTTTCAAATGATGACCTATACTGAAAATGTCATAAATAGATCGAGTATTAGGTTAAATAACATTTGGTGTTGAAATTTCTTAATTCAATCGACCCTTATACAGGATTTTCTACTTTTAAGTTTAGACGTGGGAAGAACAGTGGTGCATTATTAAAACAACACCCACCGTGCTCTCTCACGACCAAAATTTAAATGTCGCGATAATTTTCTGGTGACCGCAACGGGTAAATTATAAAGTTCGATTTTTTTTTTCAGCTTTTCAATATTACCATGACAATCTTTACTCGTATTACAAGGTGTACCTCACACAACGTCCGTAACCATAGCGTAAACAAAAGTATAAGAAACGGACGATTTTTCAAACGTTCGCTATTGTTTCGAATTCTAAAGAAGAAAAAAAAAAGAAAAAACATGTCGTTGATTATAGAGGCGGTTATATCGTTTGTTACGCACTTGTTCGTCGGGGTTTCGTTCTCGGCAATATTGTTCATGATGTGGAGAGACGACGTGGCGGCCAGGTTGATAAAGAAAAACCTGGGCTTTAACCAGAAAATCTCCGAATTCGATCAGAACTGGACGGACGTATTCAAGGAGCTAGCTGTGGACGGCGTGCCACCCGCCGTCTGGGTACAGGCAATGGTAAATCGGCTACAGGCGTTCGAGTCTATCTCGCTGGCGCCACTGAACAAATGCCTCGAAATGACCAGTACGCGGTTGGCGGATACGAGAAAAATGATGCGCTGGGCGGTCGTGCGTCAAAAGTGAGTTCGAAATTATAATTCGCGGGCGCATGCAAAATGTTCAATCCTCAGCAAGACACCCATTGTTTCGAAAAGCATTCTCTCTTTTCTGATTATTTTTTTTTTTTTTTTTTTTTTTTTTTTTTTTTGTACAATTTATCAAGTAACTCTGAAATTTCATATCAGTCATAATAAACCTATTTTTGAAAAAAAGCCGGGCAACTTCGCACGTAGGTGCAGCCACTGTTGAAGCTGAGGAGATAGGCGAGGAGAGATTTAATGTAAATCTGTAATCAGCGATAAACCATTGCTAACGAAAAAACAATTCTGAGCGGAGTTCAGTTGATAGTGTAGTTTTGTTAATAATATATTTATATATATGCCATATAGTGGTAGAATAATTACATAGGAATTATATATTTTCTTTAATAATATTTTTTTATATGTTTTACCTATTTTTTCGTTTTTCCTAGATTTTTTCACTTTTCCTATGGTTTTTCCTGGTTTTTCCCATATATTAAGAAAACTCCTGAAAAATTCGAAGAATTTTAAAGTACCTTGCCAGTCCGATTTTCTTTCAGAAAAGGCGCTACACTTAAAAATTTGAACAAGATTTCTGGTAGAAAAGTAGTCAAATGAAAAAAAATAAAAATAAACATCTTTGTAAAACCAAAAGTTTCTTCTCAACATTTAAAATCTAAAATTCCATAATTAGACAGCGTTTGAATGCGCTTCGGTGTTGACATTTTTAATTACTATCAATCTCCGTTGACGAGACACGTAGATATAGCAGATTTTTCTAATTTTGAATAGGGGAGGTAATAGTGGAGTATCATTTGTGTAGCAGCGTGACACGTGGCGTATGCTAGTTCCGATTTTAGAAATTTTTAAGTGCAGTTTCAGACGATATTTTCGTATACTTGGATTTTTTACGACATTTAAGGGGTATCGTGCGAACTTTGGTTTTTCGAAGAAGAACGCATATGTAAAAAATTCCATAAAAAAATGGTAAAAGCATGCTGAAATACATTTCGGTATTGAAAATGACCGCCTTAAAGTACACCTACCCTGTCCGATTTCCTTTCAGAAAAAGTGCTATCATTAAAAATTCGAGTAAAATTGCCGGTAAACAAAATTGTCCACATTTTTGATTTCCGTCAAACCGTTAACGAGATATACTCCACTTTTAAATTTAGTCGAGGAGCGAGTAACGGAGCACAGTTTAAATACTTTCAGACGCCGTGTCTTTGCCAAAATCGTGTTCCACTACTCTCGTCCTACATAAACGTTCGAAAATTAATTTTTCAAATCCAATTTTATTTGTGTTTATTATGTTTATTATAATTTAGACACGAACGATCACTGCTGTTACTTGGCATAACTCCACGCGTATCGACTTCGACGAATACAGATAACGTTGTCGAACCACTAGCCGAGACGACAATTCTCGTCGACAGTCTTTCGATGGCCAATTCGGGATCCAATGCGAAATCGTCGTCCAACTTGACTGCACGAGCGGTGTCCGGCATGTCTGCAGGAGTGATGTCCGATATGACTTCGGGGGCGGTGTCCGACTTGACTGCAGGGGTGGTGTCCGACTTGACTGCAGGGGCGGTGTCCGACTTGACAGCAGGGGCGGTGTCCGACTTGACTGCAGGGGTGGTGTCCGACCTGACCCCAAGGGCGGTGTCCGACTTGACCGCAGGGACGGTGTCCGACCTGACTGCAAGGGCGGTGTCCAATTTGACTGCAGGAGCGGTGTCCGACATGATTGGAGGAGCACTATCCCACATGACCATGGAAAAACCATCGGATTCCTACATTACCACGACAAGATCTATATCCAACAGGACCACGATGGAATCGATATCCGCCATGACCTTGTCGAAATCGTCATCCAACAGGACCACGTCGAAATCGATATCCGCCGCGATCGTGGATCCAGCATCAAGAGTCCGGGCTGATACGGCAGGAATCCCGTCTTTCGGAATCTCGGTAGAATTGGTCGCCAAAGCCGTCGTCGACAAGATTTTATGGATGAGAAACACATTGCCGGTGTACTGGAACCGAGTTGTCCGCATATCCAAAGCATTTAATTCGGCACTTCACTCGGAGCAACTGCGCAACATTCTGGAATACAGTCTCCGTCAAGCCAAAAGATTAGTTAAGCTGTCTACGGACATAAACTTGGTGAAGGATTTAACGAAGGTTTCGTTGCAATTTGCACCGGACGTAGTCGAGGAACCCGTGAAAACGAAACGTTTTAATTTCTATTGAAATAAGGAAAGTAAGACACATGCACGAACATCGGTTAAAGGCACTTTATATTAAAAGTATCCACCGCCTTTTTGATTTTTATATCAAGTATATCTCGGTGGTATTTAGTGATAAGAGAATGGTTTCGGCATCGAACAATTTCGCTTGAACCCCCAAGAGTCCCTCCCACAATTAGATATCATAAAATCCCTAAAAATGAACTTAGCCCGTAGTAATTTGTCTAACAATCGTTGTACTCAGGAAATGGCCCTGGAAATAATTCGTGCATACTTTTCGTTCGTACTTTCTTGTTTGTCTTCAATTTTATTATCTTAACATTTTTTTAACATGCTCTAGGAATTTCTTACCTTCCTGGGGGATACAATTTTTCTGTAATAAATTTAGGGAGTATATAAATCTTAGAATTCCAAAACAATGTAATGTAGTACGTACGTGTTATCCACAACGAACTTTGGAAGTTTTTGGGAAAAACTTCATGTAGTTCTGATTTTCCGTTCCACGTACTTCTTAGTTAGAATTTAACATTTTTAGAATTAATCCAAAATATGATCGAAAACAGACCTTTTTTTTTATTATTATTACTTGTAAGCATTGGTATTTTGATAACAAAATATTTTCATTGAAGTCAGAATGAGTCTATCTGGCTTAGTTTTAGAGTTCCGAACGTTGAAACGCACCGTGTTTCGCTGCCCTCGCTCGGAAAATAATATGTGCCGTACTATGTCGCATAGGTATCTACTAATTAATGTCGTTGTTAAATTTTCAAAGTTATGAACATTTCCGTTTGGAGAGGAGTAGTCGATAAATAGGCTTGTAACTGACTTGTGACCTAGCTGTTGGGATACCAAAAACCGTACGGATACCGACTTATTATGGTCAACTTTTAATAAAAGAAAACAATTATATTTTATACGTTGGAAGCCGAGGGAAAGTCGGCGAGACGACAGGTCGTAACTGACTTTTGACCGGTAAGAGAGGCGGTAGAGATTTGTGAATGAGATATACAATATATATGAATTACATAATAAATATTGAAATTTTAAAAAAAAAAAAAAAAAAAACGTTTTAATTCACAGTTATCAAGTAGAAAAAAGGTAGCATTTCACTTTACTGCACTATCATTGTTCTTTTATTTCAAAAACAATTTTTATGCCTATGTTATATATTATCACACCAAATACCTTTCGTTATAGTTCCATGTACAGAAAAGCTAATTTTAAAATAATAAATTTTGTGACATTACGTTTAGTAATGTAATTAAACCTTTAAAATACGTAACATAATACGGAAACTGTCAAACTAAAATGCCATTTTGTCGAGTACGGAATATCGGATTTGAAAGCATTTGAACGTTTTTGGTTGTAACTTCTAATCCATCTAACCAATTTGCTTGCGAATTCCCCCGTTTCCATCTGCACAATATTTCTGATCGATTAATAAATTATGACCTTCTTGTATGTTCAGCCGTTTTCCCCGTAGGGCTGGCCGATGGATCAACACAAATTAGCACGGTTTTTTAACGGTACAACTCTGACTCCTATTAATATACGTTCGTGACTATTACGCTTTTGTGTTTTTTTTTTTTTTTTTACTTATCTCGCGCCACTACCGTCGCGCTGGATTATATTAAGCTTTCATTTTGATTACTTTGCGTTTGGTTACATTATAAATATTTTCGCATAATGGTAGTTTGTTTTTATCTAAATTGCTTGCTATTTATTTCATTTTTTTTAGATTAAGAACTTGGTTAAGGAGTCGAATGGGGCAAACTAGATTGACAGGACTGACATTAATGGATTTGCCCAGAAAAATTAAAAAATATATTTAAATAATATAATTGACCGGTTTTCAAAAAATAAAATAAAAATAGATTTCATTGTTTAATTAATGTATTGTAGTTTCATATTATTATCATAATTATTTTTTATTTTACTAGCTGTTACCCGCCCGGCGTTGTCCGTGCTATTTTTTGTATTCTCTGTAACTTCATTCCCGTTTTGCTCAGTATTTTGTACGGAGAAAAATAGGTGAAAATTAGGTAGTCCGGGTAGTTATGGATTTAAAAAATAGATTCTTCCCCCCCCCCATTTAAACTGTCTAGGGACGCCTCTGCCGGTGAATGACGAAAAGCATTCGAAAAGATGATCAAGTCAAAAACAAAATTACGGACACGAAATAAGCAGAATCGATATTCAGGGCTAGGTGCCCTAAGCATAACGATTATTAGATCAATTACTACGGGCAGAGTTCGTTTGAAAGCATATTATGATATCTCATTATGGGAGAGACTCTTAGGGGTGTAAGCAAAATTGTTTGATGTTGAAACCGCTCACTAATCCCACTGAAATAAACTCGGTATAAAAAGCAGAAAGGGGGAGATGTTCAGATTGGGTTGAGAGGTAAATGCCCGATTCGTTCTCTCAGATACACAACTGCAATCAATAACCTGATCTAATAAATTTTGTATATTTTTTTTTACGTCGCACATAATAAAATAGTTAATCCGGTTAATCCAGTCTCGTTTAAATTAAAATATTTTCAAAATAAATAATACGTTAAAAACAACTTTTTTACCATTAAGTACAACTTATAATGAACCTTGTGCTAAATTTTCAATCATTTCTGTTTGTTCATACAATTTTTTCCGTATAATACCTATCAAATTAAAATCAAATAAACGTCAAACGCATAAAAACATAATAAAAATGTTTTAAAAATTGTGGCACGTCAAGAAATGCCCGATATAAATATTCTGTGAAAATTTTCAAGTATCTACGTCGATCCCTTTTCAATCGAATTACAACGAAAAAAAAACCAAATCGAAAATAATAAAACCGAAAAAGCCGCAAACTTGTCGGGTTTTCCTGAATTTCCATTGGCCAGGTTGTTCTTCGCAGTTCTTCGGAAAACAATACCGTAAATCGTAAAACGACCGTCTCGCCCGCGGACCAACAGATACCGATTTTCCGCGCTACTCTTGAAATTCTGAGCGGTTTTCCCGCCGGAACGCGCTCGGAATCCTAAACGACTTAAACAAAATATCGTCGTCAACGGTGTACCGTTGATTCGAATGCGCAATACGCAACGCCGTACGCCATTACCTACTACCGTTGGCGTTCGGTTTTCGCGAAAAAAAAAAATAATTATTCGTTTATTTTCGCGGTCCGATATAACGATAACGCGTGCGTATTGTCACGCGTTATTATTGTGATAATTAAAAATAAAAAAAAAAAAAAAAAACGAAAAAAAACTGATAAAACGCGTATCTATTTCCGTCCCGCCGGTTATTTTATCGCCGGGGCGCCCGTTAAAACGTAAACGGTTTTTGACGCCCGGGCCCCGTCCCGATTTTAAAGACGTTCGAAAACAGTGTTGACGCGCCGCGGTTGAACGTTAACCGGCCGTCTCCGCCCGACCCCGCGGACTCTCAATCGCGAACGGACCCGTTAACACTGATAAATCGCATTTTATTATTATTATTATTTTTTTTTTTTTTTATCCGGTCGAATAAATAAATCGCCGTCGCGTTTACGGCCGTCCAACGCCGTATATTTTATCGATTGCCCACTAACAGTGCGCCAATCACGACGTATTATTATTATTATTATTTTTTTTTTTCGTTTTTTAATTAACAACGTTCGAATAAAACGCGTCTCCGTCAATTGATTTCAAACTATTGTCGCGCGTTTGTCGTTATTATCGTTTTGTTTTTTTTTTTTCTTCTTCTCCCGTATTCCAATAAACTATTGATATAGATTACGTTGTATGATAAATGCATTAGTCTTCTTACGCGACGACGTTTGCAGTGCGCACAAACCTTCGGGCAAATTATTTAATGATCGTCAACGAAAGTACAATATTGTTATGTATAACTACGTATACAACGTGTGCACAATTAAATCCGATCGAATGCGCCGCCGCGTGGTGTAAACGCCAAGAATTTCATAATCGTGTCGCGGAAGAGATAGCACCAGAGAGCGGAGATCGAATAAAAAAAAAAAAAAAGATTTTTTTTTTTCATTAGATACTCTTAAAAACACTGCACGCGCAAAACGAAGTATTCCAGCGTTTAATGTTTCGTTAGGGAAATCGGCGATGGCGAATATGTACGCCTAAACGTCCAAACAGTATAATCTGTTGGAATTCTGTTGTATGGAATACACGCAGTTTCGGAAACGGATTACGATTGATTAGGTTCTTTCACTAGGATACGCATCGAATAATTGAAGTTTAATCGTTTTACCGAAAACGGCGAACAAATGTGATTGTATTTGTGAGAAAACTATGAAAATTGTGCCTATTTTAAGTGTTTTACCTAATCGAAACTTTTTAAATTTTACCTTTTAATAAAATTACTCCATATCCTTTCCTGGTAAATAGCCAGACAATAAGACAATATACATAATACGCGAATAAAATTCATTTTTCCTTTTTCGTCGAAATTTGAACTTAAAATGCTTGTACGAAAATAATTACATGTGCTCAACTTTTTCGATTTTAACATCGAATAAAACATATGAATAATCTCTTGTTGAATTTCCAAAATTTTTAGTTCAGCCAAAATAATATAATCGCTTTTTTCACAAGTTTCATTCAATTTCAAACTTTAAACGTACATATAAAACAATATTATTGGTTTTTTTTTTTTTTTTTTTACAGCTATAAGATAATCTCCGTAGAAAATTGTTAAGCATTTGCACTCGGTAAAAACGACGACAATTTGTCAGTGTTCATTTTACGTCTTCTCCGTCTTTTTTCAATTATTATGAAACCCGCTTTTTAAAAATCAAAAAGCTACTCTTTCACCAATTACATTAAAGGTACAATAGGGAAAATCTCTCGTCGTTTTTCTGTTTGAATAATATTTCTGGTAAAAAACATAGTGCGTGCAAATCAAAAACAATAAAAGCTGTGCGAAGTAAAAATGCGCCTCATTCCCTGTTACTTTTATTCCGGGTTTACCCGATACGAAAACCGCTCGAAGAATAAAAAAAAAATGG